TTTTTTGTACATTTTTTGATTCGGCCCTAAGCTCCTCTTCAAGTGGCTCAGGTAACCTATAACAGCTCTCAGATTTACCCCAGAAACTTCCCTACTTTTCAAAACATGGATGGCGCAGAGGATAGGAGCGCCATGTCCCATCTGACCGCTCAGAAGAACGTGCCCAGCTTCTAGTTTTGAGTGTGTGGGCTAAATTCGCTCAAATATTTTGTTCTTCGAAACTAATTTAAAATCGATTGGGTATTCAACCCTAACAGGTGCTTTGGTTATCACGCGGACCTCAGTTCTTTAGCACCTATCTCCCGTCTTAAGCCCCAAGGGCACGTTGCTTAATAATGTAATGCTCGAGCAGCTGAAAACTACTCCTGCTAATCTGATATTAAAGCAGCTCGATGGGCTATAGGAATTGGGTGCAAGGAATGTTCAATTACATGAAGTGCTTTACCCTTTGCTTTATCCCGCGAACCAGAAAGGGTAAGCTGGTATTGTGTTTGATCTTGAGTACGACACGTAGTGTAGTGATCAAAAAGTAAAGGAAATTAATTCTGGAACGGAGGCTCGACTAGGGGAATAACCGGTTACTCACCTCGCAAATGTTTCAGGTGCTTCAGTTCGACATTCAGTTGGGCACTCGAGCGCCAAGATGAGAATGAACAAGCCGTTGATCCTAGAACGTGAGTGGAGCATTTTTTGTAGGTTCTCTGAATAAAATTATCTGTAATTATTTTGTTATTGAGAAATAGTAAGGGACGATGGACGTGATTTTGTTGGAATGAAAGCCGATTCCTTCTTTCTGAGCTCTTTGTTTACCACTTTGTCGTGTTCTTAATGAGATTGCTTGTCTGCTACTGAAAACTCCCATCCATATGAATTCTACATTTGTTCCTGGAACACTCTTATGAGGATCTGTTTCTTCGGTTCTGAGAATACACAACGTGCTCTCCATTTCACGTCAAAATTTTGTGGTTTGACCTTGTATGCCGTTGCATTTACGTAAGATCGCTGTTTTTGAATAGGCGTTCAAGGGAAGGAAACTGTGCCCCTCGGTGGATATTTTGCCCATGTTCAAAAGGGTCAAGTCCGAGAAACCTTCGAAATCTGCCGTCGGAGGTACTTCCTTCGCCATTCCCTGAGGGGTTAACCTTGCTCCCTTCAAATACGACCCCCCTTCCCACAATCACAAATGTGACTCTCTTGTTTGAATAGTGTAGACGGACAGTTGACCCCAATAGGGAGTCGTCTTCTCCTAGTTTCAGTGGGTAGTGATTGAGAGCCTGCAGTAGTTCAAGACCGCTATGTGGCCAACTCTCACTACCGAGGCTGGCCCAATAATCACTTCGTCCACTTCTGAGTTGTACGGTCCTTGGGATCAAATCCGTTCAGTGTGAATCTGCTCGAGCTCGCTTTTCTCTGAATCAACCGTATCAGACACGTTTGAATAATAAAAATATGCACTGACGTACACAGCTTTTTTATTTATTTATTTATTTATTAGACGACACATAAGGCAGTCGTAGGAAACAATACAACGATCTTCCCTTGAATATAACCTAGTCATAGCTCAACAAATCTTTACTAGCCAGGCGCTTGAAAAGCACAACAGAGGGAGTAACGAGAGCCACATTAGATTTAAGAGAAGTATATATAGACCCTGCACGACAGGTGAAGCTATAGAGCCTCACGTTAGTTCTTGGCGTTGCATATGAAATTTTCTCTCAGGCCCTCCTCTGGTTCTGGATTTTGCTTTGACATAAAATCTGGATGAATCAACACGGGCAATACCTGTCAACAACTTGAACACCATGCAAGCGTCATAAACTTTTCTACGAGAACATAAGCTATGCAAATGGAAACTTCTATTTCTGAAATTCGGTTGAGGCACACGAGCATATGTAGCATTACCAGCCCTAATAAATAGTTTTCGAGTGAAATTATCTTGGATTTTTTCAAGTAACTGGATATCCTTTTTCTTATGAGGGCAGAAGACTGTTGTACCACATTCAGCAATGGGACGGATATACGTTTTGTAAGCTTTAATTAGAACATCTTTATCCCTAATCATCAAACCCTTGAAGACCTGATATGTACGAAACAACGCCTTTTTGAAGATGGCCGCATAGTGTTCAGAGAAACTCAGTTTATTGTCATAATGAAAACCGAGATCCTTGACTGAAGAGACTTCATCAAGTACATGACCACCAAGACAGTAGGTATTTGCAATGTCAGAAACACCAATCCTCATATAAACAGTTTTTTCAGGAGCAAGGGGTAATTTCCATTCATTTGACCAATCGAAAATACAATTCAGAGCCATCTGAACTCTTACTGTGTCATCAATACCATCCAACTTCCTATAAACCTTGATGTCATCCGCAAATTGCTTACAAACAACACCACATCTTTCCAGGAGACCGGGAAGCTCTGCAGTATATATAGCAAAAAGAATAGGAGATAGAACCCCACCTTGGGGTACTCCACTTTTTAACATCCATTACCCTAGAAAACGTAGACCCAATTCGGACCTGAAACGTCCTAGAAGAAAGGAAATTTTTTATCCATCTACAAACCAACGGATGAAACTTCAGTTGATTTAGCTTGTATAGAAGTTTAGAATGGTCAACCTTATCAAAGGCTTCAGAAAAATCGAAGTAAACTACATCACAAGATTTCTTTTCATCAAGGTTTTTGGAGCTAAATGATGATTTCATACGGAAGTCACATGCGTAGCGCATATTAAGTGAATGGATCAAAGGTGTGGGTAACATCCTTTAGTTTTTATTGCTGTTTCTCTGTTTCCAACCCTAAGGGTGAGGGGGAGAACTAGTGCAAGGCAAGTGGTTTTGCTCATTACGGCACGAGAGAGAGCGGGAGAGCGAAGCTTGGATCACACACAATCCAGTCCAAGCAGCCTTCTATCCTTCAAGATTGTATTTACCACTAGACTTATCTGGGATTAGAAAACGAACAGAAAATGAGCCCAGCAAGTTCTGATAGTTCAAATTGCATTGAAAATGCCACCACGACTCAAAAAGGGGTATTAGAACGCGTGACGTACCTAAAAACTGATCGGATGCTTCATGGAACACCTTCTGTTCTTCAGCTAGCTATGAGCGCATCAAAAGAGTAAGGTACTTAGTATTTTTTACATATGCAAAGCAACCTGTCAATCCAACTCCAAAAAATATTCGTGGTTTCCAATTTATTAAGTAAACAACTCCTCACAAAGCTGTTTGAAACTTCACATTGAAAAAAATCGCCGTTCCTGTGAGGCGTAGGAAACAATTTTATCTCAGGAATATTTGAACTGTTGCTGTGGGGAAACTGGTGCAGCTGCCACGCACAGGGTGCATGGATCAATGTGGATCGGGTCCCTTGCGGATCACCCAAGCCACTCATTACTTAGGGACTCTCAGTTTTTGCTACCACGTAAAGTTATTGCAGGCCAAATAGGCAGTCAACTGCTATGTGTGACGCATTTCAGGACAAGATTGATTACGCTGCGCCTATATAATCCTACTCCGTTAACTTTTTTTCCAGTAAAAACAATGGGCTTTCATTCAGTGAAAGTGTGGGAGTACTGTTGTCGAGTACGCCTGCGTGATCACGTCATGAGAGGGCTGAGAAGAAGGCTACTCGAATTTTTATGTAGGTAAAAAAAGCTATCGAATGGGTGCATTGCTTAAAGAGC